AAAAAAAAAAAAAAAAAAAAAAAAAAACGTGAAAAATACTGTCAGCTCGTTTCGTCAAATCTCTATTTTCTCGGAGATTAATCGTTACAGATAGGGTTGCCACAGAATTAGAAAAATAGAATTCCCAGACATTACCCCGATGTTCATTCATTTTGGTAACATTTCCTGACAACTGACGATAAGCCAGATGGTTTAAGAAATAATTTGAAATAATAACGAGCGAACAATTTGCTGCTCAAAAAGTCGGACCCATTATAGAGAGCAAGTAAAGGCGACTTCAAAACTTTACCCTGAAACTTCAGTCATTTTCGCTGGCATCTCCAGGTTTTCCCGGGTTCCCTGACTGTGACAACCCTGATAAACCACTGCACCCCAGCCCAGTTTCTTCTAGGTCCTAGCCCTAGCCCCTCTGGCAAAAATAGGACCTTCGTCTCCCCGGAGATTTTTCATCTCCGAATGAGCCCTGACATTTCGTCGCCTCTGCCTCTCTGACGAAAGGGCGTATCTCATTTTCCAAGTGAGCCCTGTTTAATATATAACCTATGTTTTCTGGGTTTCATGCGGAGATCGAGATACGCCCTTGCGTCAGAGGAGCGACGATTCCCGCGTTTTCTACACCCCAGACTCTGTCGAAAAGGAGGCTTCGGCTTCCGAGGATTGAGAGAGGGATTGAGGACTGACCTGCGCCAATTTTATTCCTATTTCGGCGGACGGCATCGGGTGGGGGCGGGCTGAAGCTGTGCTGAGCCAGGGCGGCCAGGCTGAGCCCGTCGCCGTGTGGCTGGTCCCAGAAAACGTTGACTACTCGCGTGTCGACCGGGTACAGTCGCCCTATCCTCTGCGACAGCTCCCAGTAGGCCAGCTTGCACCATTCCGCACCGCAACTTGCGCCTGCAACACAAGAAAATACAAACACGTTAGAAACTTCATCCAACCATTCCTGTAAAAAATTTTTGAATGGTGACTACGAAGAAGGGCATTCATTGTTGGATCGCATTTAGCAAAGAGGAACCAACATGATTACAGCGTTGTAAAGATGTTGCTTCTATATGATTATCTGAAAAATCTCCCGGAATAGCAAAAAGTTTTTTCTTCCCACCGAAAAATTGCGCTGGTCCCTTTTTGCTAAACGTAAACTTCATTGAGAAAAAGTTCCCTGGCTTAAATTTGGGGTCACTCTGGATAATTTAAATCCATAGGTTGACTGCCCTTTTGAGCCCTGAAAGATGACCAAGCAGGATGGCAATATTTCATTAAAAATAAAATCTTATAATTTCACGAAAATATTTCATGAAATTCAGAAATGTATGAAAGATATTGAGAACTACCGGTCCCTTTACATGTTTCGCAAAATGTAAAAATCGTGACTTTCTTTGATTTGTTTGTGTTAGAGTGCGGGTTACATTCTCTACCCCCTGGAAATAAGAAATATTTCACAGCCTCGTGAAATTTCATGAAATATTTCACTGAAAGCCCAACCTTTCGTTTCTTTCTTACGTTTTATGCCACCCTATAACCTAGCTTTATCAAAATTACCGACATATCCGAAAACTCTCCCCATATAGATACTCCAGTTTCAACCAATAGGATCGCTCCAATTTCTTTTCGTCTGTAAGTTTCAAAAATCAACCGGCGAGATACGCGCTTTTTGAGCTGGGCCGTGGATATACCCCGGGACGGGCGCTGGATCCGCGAGCTCGGGACTCGATGTGCGGGGTTGCCACATGCTACGATGGATGTTTCAACGAGGTTACCCCGGTTAAAATTGCTAATTTTCCGAACCATCCGGCAACAGTGCGGGCCGGGAACCTGCGAGTGGTGGTGCAACCTGTAGCGCGTTCTCACGATGGTATTCGACTCGGCGCGGACCGCGGACGCGCCCAGGGCGGCCCGAGCGAGAGCGAGTGGCCTGGCGCCCCGACCGCCCGGCGTTGCCAGCTCGCCGTCCGGCGCGGGGGGGCTCCCCGGGGAGGAGCCGGGAATCCGGGCGACCTGGCAACGCCGGCGCCGCTCACCGGCACGACCGTCCCCCGCCCCGCCCCCCGCATACTCCGCCGGGCCCTGTTGCCGGATTCCCCGGGGTCACTGCACCGAGCCCCAGCGCCACCCGAGAGCAAATCCCTCCACGTCCCGAGCCCGGACCTTCCTCAAATTCACCCGTTCTTTGAAGAAACGGCGTATCGACCGCGAAACTCCGAAAACCGCGCGCTCGCCTCGCGACGCTCCGGACTTCCAATTGGAGAACATTCATTAATGGACTACAATTGAAGGGCTTGGAGGGCAAGGCGCATAAGTGCAGTTTTTGCTATTTCAAGAAATAGGGGTTTAAAGTTTCAAAATGACGTGGAGCTTTATGGCGGAAAGGATGTTTAAATTCACTATAAAGTCGAATTTTAGTTGTAAAATTCTCACAAAATATACATTTGAGCTAGTTTCAGTTGAGTTTACGAAAATCCTTAAGAATGTGACCTTAAGGCTAGACCTAGAATCCAACCTTAGAGAATGTGAAGGCGAATAAATTTCTGCACCCCTGCTTGGAGGCGTGGTGATGACCAGAGAAACTTCATTAGGATGGAAAATCGTTTGTTGCCATAACCGAGTTATTCATTGGGGAGACAAATCGTTGGGGAGACAAATCGTTGGGGATGTTCTCATTGCAACCAGAGACTTCCGACAAAATGCGGTTTGCAGGAAGGATAACTCCGTTTTTCTTTCTTTTTTCTTCAGTATATTATTAAGATTGTACAACTGTTGTTGTGCGAAAGAGAGACCAAGTTTTCCTTTTTTTGTGAATATGCAATAATTGAGAGTCTACATACTTGTATCACTTATCTATTCTCACTTAACTTTTCTACCCATGCGTTAAAGTCTCTGAGACAGTGGAAAGGAGACCAAGTTTCCTTCATTTTTATGGATATGCAATTTGACCCATTTCGAAGTCGAAATAGTTGTATCACGTGCATCACTCCATCTAACTTTTCTACTCATGCGTTAAAGTCTCTGAATCAGCGAAAATGAGACAAAGTTTTCCTTCATTTTGACGATACGAAATTTTACCCACTTCGAAGTCGCGAAATGGTCTGTTGTATCACGTGTTTCGCTCCATCTAACTTTTTTACTCTGCTCTGCACTCTCTAATCACAAAAATGACAATTTTTTGCAAACCTTGAGTAAAATGCAATATCACTTCGCAAATGGATCCTTGAGAGAGATTACAATGATTAGCAACAACAAAAATGACAAAATATATGAGAAAAAATGTGATGCGAGTTATGTAAACGCTAGGTTTCGCGCCTACCTGAAAATTGGTCGGAATCATGGAATTTTGTTCCCGTATTTGTACTTTTAGTAATAGCAAATCATTGTAATCCTTCGCAAGGATTAAATTCTGAAGCTTCTTTGAGCGTTGTTGTTTTTTATTTCCTATTACAAGAGGTTGGCAAAAATTGTCTTGACTATGATGCAATGTTAAGGATCTCTTTGAGCCTCCCTTAATCACGATATAAACCAAATGGACGCATTTCTGCCAAACGGAACTGTATGCACTACTAAGACGTGAGCCTCGAGACCCATAAAATAAATGATGCATTACAGGGCTCACGTCATAATGCACTAGTTCAGTTTCGCAGAAATACGTCCAAATGGGGCCTCCTAAAGAAAAAGCTATTTCAAGAACGACTTTGTGAATACAACCCTCGTTTGGTACCAACCCCCAACGCTACAAAACTTGGAGTTCCGTCATGGGGAATTTCGCGGCTTAATTAGCGTAATTTCTTCTTAGTCGAATGGACATTTTCGGGTCTGATAGGACAAAATAAGACGGAATCTTAGCCTTGGATGAAAATCCGACTAGTTGAAACGATGGTTCCCAAGAAAGGGTCAAAGTACAACGGTAGGGAAATAAGCCGAAATGGGGCCGAGAAACTGGCCCACGCCGTGCCACGGTGAACGGAATGAAGGGATCAAAGGATATCCTCGACCTGAGAAACAGCCTCGGCTAAGCACCAGAATTTCCCGATAGTCGGGATCCGCGAGGACAATGAAAATGAAACAGTCCGGGTTTTCCCCCGGTTCGCAGACAACGAGGAACCTGGGACATCCTCAGCTCTGTCGGGGAGAAAAAACTCTTTCGGGGCAGACGGTGCGGCAACACAGCAGCCCAGTTCCCGGCCTGTTTCCAGCGTTGTCAGATATCTGGAAATATCCCTTGAAATTCTTGGATGGGCAGCGGAGAAGGGCAGATACTAGTCGAGTGGTAATTCAAAACCTGGTAAGCGCCTTCAGGTTTTTATAAGATCGTGTGCGGTACTAGAACTTGCTAACTGCGAGTGAATGTCTTCGTTCTTCCAGACTTTCCATGGGGAAATTCTCTTCGGAGTAGGGGTTTTCTTCCACGACAAGATGCGCTGAACTTGAGCCACTGGATTCTTGATCGACGAAGGCTCTTCCTGACTAGAATAACCGAAGCTTCGAGGAGGCTTATAGATTACCCTCGGCTGATTGTTGAAATTGATAGACATAGCAATAGACAAGGGGTAAATGGAGCTATCCTTTTGATTGAAACGGGTGGCTGTCATAAACTAGGGGGGAAATGATGGACTGACCATGGGTCCCTCGTTGGTTGCAGCTAATTCGTCTATTTTTAACCTCCTTCGCCCACTGCAACCACCCGCTTCCACCAATAGGATCCCTCTGCGTACCGATATCAGTGATCTACCCGCTGGCCAATGAAAGGGATGGAACAGGCATCGGTGAGCCCTCTTGAAGCCACCAGTTATTCTAGTCGCAAAGAACACCTAATCTAACGCTTTCTAGTTTTTGAATTTCCACTCTTTGCGTCCACTTAGCATCACATTTCCACGAAATTGTGTGCATTACATTAGAAAAAATATGTTTAACTTGAAACTCAGCAAATGCAAGGTTGGTGACAGATGGAGCAGGTGAAAAGCGTCAAAGGTTGGCAGAAATCCCCTCTCACCCGTCACCACCGACCTAAAGTCGTCGCCAATATCTTGGGGGAGGGTCTCCATAAGACCCAGTGGCCATACTCTCCCTATAGAAGCTATTAGTGCCACGTCACAGAAAAGCGATAAATATCGATTTTTTCGCATTAGTAGCATTGAAAGAGGTTATGTCAATGTTATTGTTTGGATCCAATGCGATATAATGGAGAATCCCTATGATGACGTCGCCATTAATAGCGTCTATGGAGGTTGAGCATCAGAGCTCCGGAAGTGGAGGGTCCTCGTAGGATTCCGGAGGTGCACAGTTTGGCAACATCGACCGGCTCTTGCTTCGTCTAGCGCCGGCTCAGCCACACACGAGGAATTAACGCGCTGTTGCCGCTCCGCTCCTCCAATTATCACATTCCATTCCACTGCTCGACCATTCATGTTGAGTGCCTCCGAGTCGCTGAGAGCGGAGAAAAAATTACAAGCGGCGGTGGCCGCTTAGAACTTGGCGGCCGCTTTGCGCGTCATCTTGATGAGGTCATTGAGTATACCACGAGACGATGAACATTCCGAATTTTCTGAGGAACGGTGGGATACTCATTACTGAGATGCTAACTTCAGGTGATTCGTTAAGCTCAAGTGACGTGCTCGAACTGGCATGCGATGGATCGCATCGATAAGGTCAAAAATATCGGCAGATTTTGAATTTTTAGCAAAAAAAATGACGATAGCCCCTGCGCGTGAGCCTGAAGAATCATTCTAAACCCCAAAATTCAGAGAAATGAAAGCAGAATTGTGTTCGGAAAAAAACCTCGCATTCGATACAGATATCAATAGCTGTGTCGAATGCGAGGTTTTTCTCCGGTTTCCGCTATCGTCCTTTTTTTAAAGCTAAAAATTCAAAATCTGCCGAGATTTTTTACCTAATAAATGCGATAT